GAGAGCCGGGCTGGCTGGGGCTCCCAGGAGCCTCTCGCTTGTCGATTTGCTCTTCAACACACATGTTCCCTTTCGTAACAGTGCACAGCTGGGGCTTAGCAACGCTGGTGGGAGCTTGTGCTTCCTGGCTCATCTGCTTTCTCTCCATCCTACCATGGCTTTAAATAACCGATGTTTCCACTTCCCTGTTCTGTGTAGCAGGGAACACACATTGCAACACAACCTTTTTCTAACAACAACAACAAAAAAAAATCACTGAAGCATGAAAACTGTTATGAATCTGGTGGCTGTATCAATTCTGAAGTTTGCTGCAGGGTTTCTGCTTGGATATTTATAGTTATTCAGTGAAGAGCACCTTGTAGAGCAGATACGAGTCTATGCTGGGGGGGGAGGGGGAGCAATGGCCTAAGCTTTATTTATCAGAGAGAAAAGCTGTAATTTTAATAGGAGAGCCCAAAGTCGAGGTAACAACGAGTCACTGCAGTTCTTTTAGCTGGTTCTGCAGCACTACCTGGGCGGATCGGGTGCTGGGGGTCGGCGTCACCCAGCGCTGCACAGGGTGGAAGAACTGGGCTCTTTTTTACCCTCTCCCGGCTAGAGGCAGCAGAGGTGGTACCCTCGTCCTCGGAGGAGGGGATGCTGCCGAAGGAATGCCCCCGGCAGCAGTTTCTGAGAAGGTGTCGGTGTGAGTGAGGAGGGCGGCTGAGGTGAAGAGGAGCGTGATGGGTGTCTCGGGGGCTTTCGCTTTACCCAGGCTCTAGGACTTGACCTCAGGCTGCCTAGCGAAGAAGAGTTTCCAGCATTAGAGAGACGGGGAGTGAACCTGCAGAGGGGCTCAACGCCTGCAGGGAACGATGCCAGGAGGGGCGAAGGGGGAGCTGCAGCTGGGCAGTACCTGCAGAACAAGCCCCAGAGCTGCGCACGACGTGGGCACACCCTCCACTAGCAGGTAAATAAAGCTTAGTGGTGAAACTTCCCTTCTAAAATGGCTTTTTACCCGTCTCTACAAGAATCTCCTTACAGCGTACAGCAGCAGGCGTCAAACTTTCGGTCTCTAGGAAAGCTTTGGTGATATGCAAGTATATACCTGTTCTAGCAACAACCTGTGTTTTTAGAGCCGAGAAGGAACCGGGTCCTACCCTGAGGTGAGGGACCTCATGCACAAAACCACCTAAGAGAATAAACCTGTTGTGGGGTAATGCGCTCAGCAGCGCACAGCGCAAACACCCAGCAAAGGACTTAATTACTATGTACAAAGGTGCTTTGGTCAGGGCTGTGCATTCAGCTCCTCCGCATGTCAGCGAGCAGCTATGCGGCAGAACAGGCTGTCAGATTAAGGAGTCTCCGGCAAACCCCATGCTGAGGACGTCGGAGGACACCAGCCAAGCCGGGAAGTGAGTGAGCTGGGTGGTACCGAGCGGAGCTGCCCACAGCCTCCCGGGCACGGGGTGCCGGTGCTGCCGCCCGCCTCTGCAGCTCCGCCTCTGCCTGCGCTGCCTGCACCGCGCTGGCTCGGAGCAAAGCTGCGCGGGCAGGGCTGCAAGGGAGCACGGAACGCAGCGACCTGGCTGCTTCAGGTCAGAACCTGAAGCTGTTTTAGGGGCTCGGCCGTGTTGTGACCCCAGCCCGGAGCGGTAACAAACCCATTGCCTTGCATGGGTGCGAGATGAGTTTCTCTCGCCCCGGTGCAGCAGGCTGCAGGTGAGGGGCCGGGGGCTCGCCCACAGCCTTATCTCCACCGGGGAGGCGAGTTAATGTGTAACCCGGCTCTGTTTGGTTAGCCCAGAAAAGCAAAGAAGTCCTGGGATAGGCACGGCTGGGACAAGAATTTGGGCAGCGTGGAACGACGGACGTCCTGGTAAAAAAAGAAAAAAATACAATAATCTCTATTCCTTCTTGTCCTCTGCTTTCTGTGATTTTCCTG